GGTGGCAGCTAGACAGACTAAAATTTGATATGCAGAAAATGTATAAGATAAAAAGCTGAATCCTAGGCAAAGCTGGAAGTAAGTGATGGATGGGGTGATATGAGGCCAAAGATGGGGTGAGGAGACCTTTAAAGCCTTTCTCAAAGAGATTCCATTGGGGTATGCTTAAGGACTTTGTGTTTGATGGTATGTATGTGTGTGGGGGGGGTGGCTGTTGGGTCCATTTCTACTCAGATGAGAGCCAATCATACCTTCTTAGGCTGTCTCCAGGTGACCCCAAAAACAAGTAGGGAAAGGCTTGATTCTTGCAGGAAGAATGGCTCTGAGATACTAAGAGGCCTCCAGCGTAAAGACTGGGACTCAGAGTTATTTATTTCTGGCTGTCTAAGCTAACCCCACTCCTTTGCTCCCACCCCACACTGCTCCCCTTCCTCCCACTTTAGTCCCAAGACAAGAGAAGCCCTGGGATCCCAGATGGTCCCACGCTCTGAGTGAAGAGAGCAGCACAGTCTCTGGCTCTTTCTCCATGGATGACATCATCCCCTTGGGGTTGGTGGGAAAGGCTGTGCTCTTGGCTCCCCTCACAGTCGTGACCCAGAGGATGCTCCTGTTTCCACCACCCCTGGCCCTCCCAGCTTCCCATAGCTTCCTTCTAGTCTCACCCCTCTCCTAAGCCTTCCCTTTGTATCAGCATGTCCTCTGCCAGAGGCTGGGCTCCTGGAAGTCAGTGTGAGGGGTCAGGAGGAAGCTGGGGATTCCCCCTCCTCCCTTTCTCTGCCTGAGTAAGGCGGGGTTGGAGACTAAGAAGCTAGACAAAAGAGGTGTGCTAGGTCAGACCATCCATGATGCATGGAATCCTGCCATTTGCACATGTGAAGATTCGCCAAGGAAGAACTATTTTGAAAGCACACTGGAAGTCTTAACAGCCAGCCTGCACTTGATGCTTTCTTTACACCCTGTAGATAAAGCCATTACGTCGTCTAATCTGCACAGTGGCTGTTGAGGCAGGGACTGTTATCCCTATTTTAAAGAATGGAGATACAGAGCTGACAATGAACTTCAGTGGCTCGAGTGCTTGCCTACAACAAAGCGCTGGGTTTGATTTCCAGCACTGCACAAAACTGCACGGAGGGCATACCTATAATCCCAGCACTTGGAAGCCAGAGAATGGGATTTTCAAGAGCACCCCAGTGACTCTGAGGCCAGTGGAGAAACTGAGCTGGGTGTGATAGCTCCTCCCTATAATGTCAATGCTTGGGAGGCTGAGGTAGGAGAATTGGGAGTTTGAGGCCAGGATGGGTTGCATAGCAAGACTCTAAGAAAATAGAACAAATCGGTAAACACAACAGCACCCCATAGAAAACTTAAAATACAGCTACTACATGGCAGACCTGGGATTTGAACCTTGTTCCTTTTGTTCCTAGACCTCCAAGTTCTGAACCAATACAGAATATTTTCAATATGAATACAATTTCAGCACTTGTTTTCTTAAAAAAAAAAAAAAGAGCCTCTGTCTTATAGACAACCCTGAATTTATACATTCCCACACACATTCATTCTTGCTGGAAAACTGTACAAAATGTCAGCATTATTTCTTATGGGTTTTTCCACACTGGAAGAGACTGAATGGGGTTATTTCATCCCTCCCACTACCTCTGGCCTGACGTTGTTCCTCCTTCTGGAAGAAAGCCTGCCAGCTTAGACTCCTTGTTGCTTGGTAAATCAAAACCTTGAGAAATGGCCCTGGCTCTCTCTCCTGCCTAGTGGGAGACTTCAGGTAGCAAACAGTCTAGAGGGATGATGTGGGGAAGGGAGTCAGTAATCTCCATCCATCGTTTACGAGTGTCATGCCAAGTATCAGGTAGGTTCTAGGGTTATGTACTGACATGCAGATCTCAGTCTCTACCTTTAAATAGTAGATACTCAATAAATATTTCATGAGCAACTGAGGGTTTAAACCACGGAAGACATGGGCCCTGTACAGAAGTAGGACTTTGGGGATCCATACCTCAAGGATCTAAGAGGAGGCCCTAACAGGAGCACAGTGGGAACATGTGTGGGACATGAATTCGAATTCCTGGAATTAAAATTTCCATCGTGGGTCTTGACTAAAGGTCATAATAGTTTGGAGCTCATAATAATTGGATTTGGACAATGGAAAGCCACTGAGTGAGGTGATGGGGTGGAGACATGCATCTGGAAGAGTGGTCGGGCATGCGTGGGTCTGGTGGCCTGGAGGCCAGTGCGGGACTACGTTAGACAGGAACGGAGGGACTGAATAGAGGTTCCAAGTGACAGGAGAGTAGATTAGAGAGTGAGGGCAAGTAGGGCAATTGGAGGGTAAAGCAATTCGTCAGGGAGGAACTGAGCTGGGTCCTAGAATCTAGCTCCATTCAGAGCTATGCCAATAGCAGCCACATCTCTGAAAGGAAGGGGTCAGGACAAGGGCCACCAATGACAGGCACAGCTAGTCTGTGTCTCTTGCTGCTGCTGTATCACCACTCCTGTCACTCAGATGGCACATATGTGCCCCAGCTGGTCCCGGGGCTGTTGGGCTGTGCCACTTCTTGCCCTGTCTCAGGAGAGTGCACAAAGAAAGGGCAATCTCGGCAGCCCAGCAAAGGCCTCCTGGCCCTCGGGGGCTGACAGTCCTCCACTGACCTTTATTGTTGCTGGCTCAAGGGAGCTTGGGCAGCTCTCTCCCCACCAGACCAGGGTTGGCAGGAGATTTGACCCAGAAGCCATAGAGGACTAGCTGACAGCCCACCTGCAGGGCCTTCCGTGTCCCCCACTAGAATAGTCCCCCACCCCCACCCCTTGGTCTTAGCTCCAGGCATTAAGACAAGCCTGGGAGGTAAGATGATCCCATGGGTCTCTGGGGGGCTTAAAAACAGATGGTTCCTGCACAGAGGCTCACTGTGAGTAACTTGATCACGATGTGGGGAGGGAGCTGGCAGGCCCAAGGCAGCTTGGGCACAGGGGCTAGGAACATTGTGAATGTTATCAGGGGAGGCCTTTCCTCCCCAGCCTCCAAGTAGGGCCCTCAGCCCCTTCCAGATGGTACCTAGGACATGGGGCTAGGGGAGCTGGCCCCAGAATGCCTGCTTCAGGCATGGCTAGGACACAGCCAGCAAGACTGAGAAGGCAGGAATGAATGCTAGATCCAAGCATGAGGGAACAGGTGCTTGGGGAGGGGGGTCGGCAAGGGTGGGCAGGAGCTTCTGGCACAGAGGAGTTCCCTGGCCTCTCTCTCCTGACTAGTCACATGTGAAGAACAGTTAGAAGAAGCCCCAGGCCTCCCCTTTCTCTCTTGTGTCCCTCCCCCTCTCTACTGCTCTATAGAGGACAGAGTAGCCTTCAGGTCTGGTCCTCTTGCCCAGCTGTCTGCAGGCAATAGTTGCTAGTTCAGACAGCCCTGAGCTTGAGTCCTGGCTTTGTGAGCTGCATGGCCTTGGGTCTCTTGCTTTCCTCCTGACACAGCAACCTTCCGGAGTTTGTAGAATTTGGATGAGATGAGATACCTAGTGCTTGCAGCATGATTCCTATTATGTAGTATTCTCAAGCATTTATTGCCACCATTGTCCACCAGGGAGCAACAGCATAGGCGGGACAAGAGTGGCTAGTATCATTCTTTTAAAAATTATTTATTTTTACTTTATGTGCATGGGTATTTTGCCTGCATGTAAGTCTATGTATTGCATGTGTATAGTGTCTGAGGAAGCCATCAGATCCCCTGGAACTGGAGTTACATATGGTTGTGAGCTGCCATGTGGGTGCTGGGAATCGAATCTGGGTCTTTTGGAAGAGCAGCAAGTGCCCTTAACCTCTGAGCCATCTCTCTAGCCCCACTACTACCGCTTTGTGTACCCTCAGACTAAACTCAGCTCCACCTTTTACTATCGAATCACTTATGGGCCTTAGTTAGCTTATCTGTCAGATGGAAGCAATAGCAGTCACAATCTCAAAGAGCAGCTGGAAGGATTAAAATAGGGTAATTTATTAATATAAGTTGATATACACATACATATATGTATCTCTATGCATATGTCTGCACACACACACACACACACACACACACACACACACACACACACACACACCAGGCAACTAACCAATCAAGCACATAAAATGCCAGTCTCCGACTTAATGATTTTTGGAGAAGGCATACCCAGAAAGCCATGCTAGGTTTTTCTGTTGGTTTGTTTGTTTGATTGACTGGTTGATTGATTGAGACAGAGTCTCACTCTATAGCTCAGTTTTGTCCGGAACATACCACTTATCCCAGGCTGTCTTTAATCTCAATGTAATTCTCCTCAACTCCTATATGCTGTAATTCAAAGCTAGTGCTGGGAATACAAGTGTGAGCCACCATGGCTGGATGTCTATTCTGGTTTTATTTTTGTTTGTGTTTCTCTCTCTATGTCTCTGTCTGTCTGTCTGTCTGTCTCTCTTGTCTCTGTCTCTGTCTCTCTCTCTATATATATATGTGTGTGTGTGTGTGTGTGTGTGTGTGTGTGTGTGTGTGTGTTCAGTGCAGTAATGAAGTCAATACTTCACTATCATGCAATAGGATTTGTATTGGATAGGTTTCCCATCTGTAAGCTAATATAAGTTCTGAGCACCTTGATGTAGGCTAGGCCAAGCTGTGATATTTGATGTCTTAGGTATATTGAATGCATTTTTCACTTAACAATAATTTCAGTGTACTGTGGATTTAGCAAGCGGGCGAGCTTCTGAACAGCTTTTAGGACAGTGCCAGTCTTGGTTAGTTCACCGCCATTCATGTTATTTCTCTTATCCAGCCACAGCAGTGTTAATCTTCCTCCTCTCATGACACAGGTCTGCCCTGTAGCAGACTGCAGAGGTGAGGTCCTAATGGCAGGCTTGCATGACCCTGGAAGTGTGTATTCCGAGGAGGTTTCAGGTTGAGGTTCAAGGCTGAGGGGTAACCCTCCCTGTAGGCCTAGCGCTCACTGGCCCCATGTTTTCTTTCCTTGCAGATGTCCATGAAAGAGGTGGGGGATGGCTTACAGGATCAGATGAACTGCATGATGGGTGCGCTGCAAGAACTGAAGCTCCTACAGGTGCAGACAGCCTTGGAACAGCTGGAGATTTCTGGAGGCACGTCGGCCTTCAGCTGCCCCGAGAGCTCACAGAAACAGCCCGAGTGTCCTCGCTGGCAGGGTAGTGGAGGTCCTGCCAGGCCTATGGTCTCTCCTTCCTCCAGCCAGCCTTCCTTTGACAGCAGCTCCAAGTTTCCATGCCATAGGAGTGTCTGTGGGAAGGATCTTGCTGCCCTTCCCAACATGCAGCTGCCAGAGGACCAAAGCTGTACCCAACAGGGGCTGGAGTGGGTGGAACCAGATGACTGGACCTCCACGTTGATGTCACGGGGCAGAAATCGGCAGCCTCTGGTGTTAGGGGACAATGTCTTTGCAGACCTGGTGGGCAACTGGCTAGACTTACCAGAACTGGAGAAGGGTGGGGAGAAGAGTGAGACTGGGGGACCCCGGGAGCCCAAAGGAGAAAAAAGCCAGTCCCGGGAGCTGGGTCGCAAGTTTGCCCTAACAGCAAACATTTTCAGGAAGTTCTTGCGCAGCGTGCGGCCGGATCGAGACCGGCTGCTCAAGGAGAAGCCAGGGTGGATGACACCCATGGTCTCCGAGTCACGAGCAGGACGCTCGCAAAAAGTCAAGAAGAGGAGCCTTTCCAAGGGCTCGGGACGGTTCCCTTTCTCAAGCACGGGAGAGCCCAGACACATTGAAACCCCTGCCACAAGCAGCCCCAAGGCCGTAGAACCCTCCCGTGGGGGCTTTGACATTAACACAGCTGTCTGGGTCTGAATTTGAGAGACACTGGCTGAACCTAGAAGGCGGTCTCGTACTGGGCCCTGGGGGGAGAGGGAGGGCCGATGGCGTGGTCTTCAGGCCAGATGCGAGTTCCCATCCTCAGAAAGAAAGGGAAGCAGAGTTCTTAGTCAGGTCTCACTAGAACAGTGGGGAGAGGCTGTTATAGGGCAGGCTGAGGTAAGAGTCCCTGGAGAGAATGTATTTGTGCGTATGAGTGTGTGCCTGTGTGTGTGTGTGTGTGTGTGTGTGTGTGTGTGTGTGTGTGTGTGTGTGTGTGTGGTTCTTTTGAGGCTGAATGTGAGAGTAGTTGGGAGAGAGGCAGGGGAAGAGTCCAGGCCGAGCCTGCATCCCTCTATTGCCTTCCCGAGACCTCAGTTGAACATTCTTTATGGAAAGGGACATTGAGCCCTCTGGTTTCCCAGAGGAATTCCCAATAAAGACCTGTCTCAGGGTCCCCAGCCATTTTAATGGTCTGCTTCCCTGACTTTTTTTTTTTAAAGGGCTGGTCTCTCAGGATGGAGCACCAGAGAGGGAATTCCCTACACACAGCCCTTCCTAGTACCAAGATTTCAGCCCATAGCTGGGTGCTGGGTGCTAGGACTGGAACAAGCAGGTGTGTGTGTGTGTGTGTGTGTGTGTGTGTGTGTGTGTGTGTGTGTGGTGAGGAAGCCTGAGATGCTCTTGCATCTCCAAAGTGCAGAGGAGGAGCAATGCGCCTTCACCCAGGTGCTGTCTCATGAATCCAAGTAGGCATGCCAGCTTTCCAGATGAAGCTGCAGTCTCCAAGGTGTCCAAGAACACACGGCTGGTGGCTGGTAGGGGACAAAACAGGTGAGGGCAACCTCAGGGTTATTGCTGGACCCTGGAGTCACATACTGCCTGGCTGAGCAGTGGGTCCCCATCCTGACTCCTGTTGCCTGCCCTAATGCTCCTGCAGGGCAGCAGATGATTGGGGTGAGCCCAGAAACAGCCCTCATACATTAAAAAAAAAAAATCCCTAGTCCGCATCTCGTAGTCACCCAGAGAATAGAACGAATGCCGGCCTCATCTACCCTCATCACCCTGGAAGTCAACCAGGGACCCTCAGAGTGAGGTTGACGCCAGGCACGTTGTGTAGTGAGCCGGCAAGCAAGTCCAGGGCCACCTGGGTCCACGGAGGGGCCGTCTTGGCCCTCCCTCCTTGGCCAGGAGAGAACAAAGTAGGTCCCTGTTCGAGCCCAGCCACCCTGGAGGGCGGCCTAGCTCCTCCCTCACCCCTCCCGCAGACCCAGCTCAGCTTGATGGGGTGTGACAACTGCAATTAGAGGCGAGCCGCCTGCTGCCCCCAGAGCATTAAGAGCAAATTGGAGAAGAAAACTAACCAGAGAAGCTCTTCTGCCTGCAGCCTGGACCCCCAGGGGACCGAGTGGGGGAAGGGGAGTGTAGGCTGGAACTGGGTGTGGGGAGGTAGCAGCCGCTGTGGGGAGGGTCACCTGAACGTTCCCACGCAGTCAAATGATAGATGGTTACTTTCTTAAGTGGGGAAAGGGTTTTTTTTGTTTGTATTTTTGATCTGTCACTTTTTGCCAGGCAATGTGCCCATCTCTTTCAGACCTAGAATGACCTGGAATTATTTTCCCGATAAATCAATGGGTCAAAGAGTCATGGCATGCCAGCTGCCCAGATCAGGATGCTTGCAAAAGAAAGCAGCTCCCAGTTTGGATCCCTGGGCACCAGGCCTATCTACCTTGGCCTGGAGTCTGTCAGCTGGGCTCACTCTTTCTGGCCAAGCGGGTCCTTGTCCATCCTGCCTCCCCTGAATTTCTTTGACTGTGGCTGCCTTTGGTGGCCTGCAGCAACGTGTGTAGAAGAGGAACATGTGAAAAACTTACACCCTGATTCCTGAAGGGTGGAACACTCCTGAAATTATTTAAGAGGGCATGAACTATGATTGTATAGGAAGCCAAGTCACTTCTTCACCATCCATGTGCAACTCATTTGTTTTGTGGACTAGTGGTAGTTAACATTGTTTAAATCAGCTGACACGACAGACTCCTCTCCTGCCCGGGCATTGTGATGGAAGATGATGGAAGATGAGAACTCAGAGATGGGAAAGGAACCGGCTGCTGACCTCCAAGCTACCAACGTACACAAAGAAACAGAGTTAATCATCACCTGGTCAGAAAAGAGTCAAAGGACCAAAACAAAACAATTAGGAAGTAATTTTGGCTTCCAAGATAATCCATAGGTGCCAGGCACCTTTGCCTTTATTCTCTTATTTCCTTTTTGCTACGCCCAGGAAATGGTTGCTCATTTTACCTGAATAGAGGCTCAGAGAAGTTAACTCCTTCAAGGTCACACAGTACAAAGTTGGGATTGAAATAGTTTGTAACTGACTTCCAATCTTGTGTTCCTGTTACCTGGCAAACTGTCCATATCAAGCCAGATCAAGAATAAGAACATTTGTCCTTTGTGATTATTCACATCTCTTCATGACTGACAAGTGGTATGCTCATTAGCTATTTGAGGAATATCTACTGGAGGAATAGTGGAGGAATTTTGCCTGGGTTTCAAAAGGGCTGATATACTGTCCCAACGACTATGCCATGCTTTGCTGATGAAAGACTATGGTAACTCAACTTCATGTAATTTTATTTTCTGTCCACATCCTTGGCTCCTGCTGAGACAGTGATGGAGACTGCGCTACTGAAGTGGAGTGAAGAGGTGACGAGTGATGTCTCAAGTCTTAGTGATGCAGAGTGCAGGGCAGTGTGTCTGTGGAGGAGATAGGGGAAAAGTAGGCAGAGAAACTGACAGCTTAATTCTGCCTCTTGGGCTCATTTTATGGTTAATTAGGACATACAAATGAGCTGGAAGCTCATTTAATACCCTTCTTGGCACGGAGGCCTGCCCCACACCTGGCCTAATTCCTTGGCAGGTACTGATGCCCTCTGATTGGCCTAGGCATCTTCTCAGGGCTCCACCTGCCTCTCTGTGGTCAGTCTGTAGATATTCTCCAACCACAGCATCCACTGGAAGATCCCTTCGCTGCTGGGCATGGTTGGTAGAACCTGCCAGATCTCTGTTTCCTCTTTATAGGCCTGCAGAACTAGAACCTCTCTTTTCCTCTCCTCCAGGCTCCTCTGTAGCCTACCCTCAGGGTGATCTCTAACTCAAACTGATCTTGAGGAACAGACATTTGACTCAGCTCTGCCAACCATCCTCACCTGTTCCCCAGAGGCTCCATAGAAGAGGGTCCTGTTTTTCTCAAGTCACCCCAACATTCTCAGCAGGATAAAATCAAGAGTACCGAAGCTTCCCTGGAAAAGTGTCTATTCACTTTAGGTGATCTCTCCAACCAGGGCAGTTAGGTGTTTCTGCCAGCACCAGGCATTTCTATAAATTCCTGATCTGGAGTCAGATAGGAATCTAGACCCAGGCCTGTCATTGTGTGGGCCTGAGCATGTTGCCTGACCTGTTGAAGGCTCCTCTGCTCTCATGTGAAGCAGGGATGATGTAGGGCCACTGTCGGGTGTAAAGCCCAAAGTACTGGGGTGGAGTACACTGTTCCTAACACACAGCTTCTACAGAAATGGCACTAGCCACCCATCCCCAGCTTAATCATAGACCCCAAGGGACAATGCTGAAAATAAACAGTGCTTTCTCTGAGCCCTGGTGTTCTGCTAAAAAGTACACTCTGACTCTCATTTTATCACGGGACTGTGGCAAGGATCAGAGGTATGTAAGTGTGTTTTGTCCACTGTAGAGATGTTGCTCACCTGGGCTGCTTTGCCAAATGTTACACTCATTCTTTTTGTCAAGTAGGAAAGGATAGCACCCTGGGCCAGACTAGGATGGCTTGAGGCCATCATTGCCTAAGAACCTGCCCTAGGGACATACTCAATGTCTTATGTACCAAATTCTCCCTCTCTGAAAACCTGGGGCCTCAATTTCAGGCCAGGGATAAAGTTGAATGAGCCAAATTCTGCTGGCCAGCTGTTTGTCCTTGGTGGCCAGAGTTCCCTTCCAGGCCACATCATTCCTTTTCTCTAGACACCCTGGGGGCCATTCCTAAGATTCATCGTTTCCCCCTGAAGCCTGAATTTGACAAGACCTACTCCTTGCCCTTCCCGCGACCCCTTCCATCAGTACCAGCATATCCCTTCCATCCACCTCTCCCAAGCCCAATGCACACCCATGCAAGCCATCCCCAAGGAGTCATCTTTGTCCCTGCAACAGAGACCTCATTCTTACATTCCAGTCCCCCACTGGAGTCCTCTCTCCCTCACCACCCCCAGTCCCTGAAAGCACGTCTGTGCTGGTCAGAGGCCACAAGTTGGTGTGCCCATAGCTGGGGGCAAATCTCACAGGAGACCTTGACAATTACTAAGTTCTTCTTTCCTCTATATCTCCTCAAGCAGGATCCCTGACTGGACTCTACCCCGTCCAGGGACAGTAGGAAACAGCGTTCTGAACCTCTGCTTATTTTGAACTCTCCCCAACATTGTACCTTCCCTCTCTGGCCTTGTGGCCAGGCAGGGTGGTTTGGGCATCCATTAGGAAGCTGTACGTAGGTGCTGGTTCCAAGGGGGAAGCTGTCCTTATCTAAGTATATGATCCAGGGTTTGTAAGGACACTAATGGGGTCTATGAGCAGTTTGTGACATCATCCTGGGCTTCCTGTGTGTCCCAAGTGTCAAGAGGCCCAACCTTGCTCAAGTAGACCCCAACTGGCTTGCTGGGCCTTGTTTCGGAACTTCTCACTCACTTTACCTACCAAGGAGATGGGTTCCCTTCAGTGCTCCAAGCTTGGGTCTGCCTGTGCCATCCTGAGTGCAGTTCCTGCTCAGATTGCCTTTTACTTTTCTCAGCTTGAAAGCCACCACGGAACCCTCCCACAGGCCTTGGCTGTGTCTTAGTCTAAACCCCAGGACTTAGCTTGGCAAGTCCCTTCTGTGCATGCTTTCCTTCTCCTCCAGATCTCTGAGCACCTCCAAGGTAGTGACTACTCAGTATTTCTGCTTCCAGTCCTGAGCCCGGGGTTGCTGTGATCTCCACTCCCCAGGGAGTCCTGAGCTGAGTGCACCATTGGGGGGCTGTTTTAGACTGCCAGTGGCCAAGCTTTTCTTAGCTGACCCCCCTACTCTGTCTCTCGCAGCTTCAAAGTCCATTTCCCAGAAAAAAGGGGAGTCGTGACCAGTTCCTGTCCGAGCAGGAAACTTCAGTAGACAGCCCCCCTCTAGCTCTTGCGCAGTCCCGTCCCTGGTTCACTGCTTGCCTTCCCAAGCCAATTCTATTTTAATGCCAGCCAGGGTGGCGTCTCACCTCCCTTCTCTCACCTATCTCTGTTGTCATGCTGTCACTGGGCTGCTCAGGCCTTTCAGAGGATCACAGCCACGTCTTTCTCAAGAGCCACTGAAGAAGTCATCTTTGTCCCAGATGTCCCCCCAATTTTCTCCTTTTCTTGCCTGGCCTCTTTCCTCCAGCCTTCCTGACCTGGGTCCCACCCGTGGATGTCCTGTTTTACCTTCCTACCCCTAAATTGCTATGCTCTAATGGGGACACCAAGTCTGCTAGATCCTCCTCCCCTTATTGTGACATTTAAGGGAGGGGAGGGGTGGGCAGGGTGACAGGGAAGGAAACTGAGAGTTGGGTGGTGAGCGCCTGCCTTCTCCACCTCCAGTTCCACTTCTGGCCACCCTCCAGGCATTGTCTCCCCACTAGGCCCAGAAGGTGCACAGGCACTTGTGTGCAAGTTGTGGGAGAGGGCTGGACACCACAAACTCAGGAAGGTGGTGCGTGTGGGGTGGGGTGGGGGGGATGGGTGCTGGGATGGACTCCCAGACCTTGCTTATGCTAGATCCCACACTCTACCACTGAGCCACCTCCTCCCCAGCCCTGAATCAAGCACTTAAAAAAGAAAGTAATTAAGTTTCTTCCAAATGAGGCAAACACAACTGAACCCCTGTATACCATCAGCTCCCTGGGCATCTCAGACATGTCTGTGTTCAATTTACACCTGCCAGTGGCCTAAAGACCATCATCACAGAGCCTTAGGCCAAACCGAGTGAAGTAACTGTTCAGACCCTCTACTGAGGTTCCAAGCATCCGTTCACAAGGAAACTCAGATCCCAGAAAACGGCAAAGTTTTGCACCAGCGATTCCAGGGGTCCAAAGAACTCCACAAAGCTTCTGGCATAGGCTTTAGGACCCTTCTGGGAGTAGAGGGATCAAATAGTGTCTCCAAGCTTCTTGCTTTACAGTTCACAAAGGATGGGCAGGCTCCACTGCTCCAAGACCTACTTTGCGAACTAGGAAGGCTGAATGCCTCCCATTCCCTTATCCCAGACTTTCCTTCAAACTACAGCCCATCCAGCTGGAGAGGAAGAGCCCAGTCATGCTTAGGCAAGTTGGACCAGGAGCTACATTAATAACTGTGGCCTGTGGATTCCTCACCCACATGGAAAGACCTGTCAATGGGATGTCAATGAGGAAGCTGGGACCTACTTGACAGAACTAAAAACTAGGATACAGCACAACTGTAGACAGCCAGAGGGGCTGCTGCCTATCTATGGTGTAAAGACAGAGGGAAATCTCATAAGGTATGGGAGAGCTAGTAGTTACCGAATGTCCAGGGTGTCGGCCTATGCTAAACATGAGGGGAATAAACCATGTCAGATAATGCAGAAATAAAAGCAAAAGCTTTCCCTTCTTAATCCTAATATCCTTGTGAGCCAAAGCATCAGGAACTGGTGGTTCATAAAGAACTGATAAATGTAATTTGTATAGGTGTTTTGTCTGCATGTATATATGTTCACCACATGTATGCAGTGCCCATGGAACCAGATAAGGTGTCGGTACCCTAGAACTAGAGTTTGATGGTTGTGAGCAGCCATTTGGGTTCCAGGACCTCTTCAAGTGCAACAAGTGCTCTTAACTGCTGAGCCGTCTCTCCAGCCTCCAACAGAGTGTTCTTGATGACACACTGATTCTATGCTGTGCCTTTTGTTAAAATCCTTCCCAGACTAATGCTGATTTCCCCCCTCCATATTCAACTCAGCCAATTCTAATATCTACACTATTCTTCCTCTTGTTTATTCTTCACTAGCCATGCTGACTTCATTAGTCTTCCAACATGCCCACCCTATGCTAGAGTAAGGCCCTTGCCCTTATCCTTTTCCTGTGTGAAGACCTACTTCCTCCCAGGCAGCTGGCATAGGCTCTCACATTTTCAGTGTTTCCTCACATAACCAACACAGGGACACATAAATCTTTCACCCACTTATTCCTGTTGCCTGTTGTACCATATACTTACTTTTTTTCCCCCTACAGCATCCATAATAAACACAAGGGGTTTCAACAGCTTTATCTATCCACATGTGTGGTATGTGCAGTGAGTGCGTGTGCCCATGTGCCAGTGCACGTGCCCATGCATATGTTTGTGAAGGCCAGAGATCAATGCTGAGTGTCTCCCTTTATTACTCTCCACTTTGTTTGAAGATGGGGTCTCTCATTGAACCTGGAGCTCATTGTTTGGCTAGACTTGATGGCCAGTCAGTTCCTGGGACCATCTCTGCTCACTTGCCAGTGCTGAGATTACAGGAATCAGTAGGCCCTGCCTTTTACATGGGTGTGTGAGTGCTAAGGATCCAAACTCAAATCCTTTTGTTTACACAGAAAACACTTGGGGTACCTACCTACTCACTCATCTCCCCATCACAATATTTTGCCATTTTCTAAAGATTAAAAGTCTACAAGGGATGATATTTGGGTATGTTTGATTCATTGTTGTATTCCATGCATTCAGAGCAGTACTGGTGTAGAGCACAGATAACAGTAATTGATATGTCCATAAAGATCATGCATTTTTCTGCTTTGTAGGCCCTCCAAGTTTAGTGTTAAGAATTTGAACATGGGTAAGACTAAAGAAAATCACTGAAAACAACAGTTCAAAGCAAGAGACACACAACTGTTTAAAATGGGAAGCTTTATTAAAGTTTTTCCTTTATGGAAACAGCCAATCTCTTGCATAAGCAATTAGCAGTTGGGCCTAGAACTATAGTTGTCTGCTTCTTAACAAGCCCAAAGCATTTGCAATTCTCAAGTTTCTTTCGAAGGCTGTTAATGCCTGGAAAACAGAATCCATGTTGCCTTCCCAAGAAAGAACTAGGCATCCAGTTCCAAACCTTTAGCTGTTCTTAAAGAACATTTAAACAGGATAGAGTTAAGAGGACTGCACACTCAATGAATCCAAGATGAAACTGCAGGAAGAGAAACTCAAGATGAACCTAATAGCTGTACTGTATTCACAAGAATATATAGGTTTATGTTCTGAGCAACTAATAGCTGGATAGTCAGACTTCTCAATGCTCACATTCATTTGCTTCCCACAAGACAGGCTCTTTCCAGATCCTAGAAGAACATGCAGACCAATGTGTCCTTTGACGTTTGGGGTGGATTCAGTGGTCTACATTACTATATATTTAGCACCTTAAATAAGCACAATACTCAAATAAAAGCATTTTTGAAAATTATTTTACTCCTCCAATTATGAGACGATTTCTTCTTTATGTTGGTTTCAACACATAATTTATAAGAGCACACTTTGTTTTCCAATATCCTGTGAGTACTGGTCAGGAAGAAAAACATAATACTCATTAATTCTTTCTG